AAAGCAATATGTCGGAACCTCCACTCAAACTCACGGTAAGGAACCGATTGCCTGGAACCTTTCCTGATTGCTTACCTAGTATTGCTCTCGAGTAGTCATCTTCAACTGTTGTTGGAGCTGGGTCCCCAGTCACCAAGAAGTGATGAACCATTCAAATGCAAGGGTTTGCATTCCACTCCTGCATCAGGGGACAAATCCTACAAGAGAAGATGCCACACATGCATGGGGGAAAACCAGGGAAAATACTACTGAAGCCAGGGGAGCAAGTAAGGAAAGTGAAAATGATACATTGAAGCATGTGGAGACAAGTGCAATGAACACGTGTTGATGCATCCCCAACTAAACCGAAGAACACTTGTCACGTGAAGCTCCTCATGGTCCAATTTCATTCAAGATCAAGCCTCGAAGGTCCTTGAAGAAATCACAAGTCCGATTCAAGATCAAGTGTCCACCACCCTTGAATCAAATTCCGCTCCAGATAAAAGGAGTAAATTCCGATCTTCAATGCTAGTCTAGCAGAAAGTCCTACAACCCAGTTCAAGAAAAAGGCTGTGGAAAGTTAACAATAAGTAGAGCAACTCTTTCAGCAACTCTTCTTACTAAGAGACTAAATCAGAACGATCAACCATCAACCTAAATGATTTGAAATCAGGGGGAGATACTCATCAGGGGGAGCATCCAAGACAGATCAAGGTTTTAACGAGTCAATCGAAGACTTGTGGCCATCCAAGGGGGAGTGTTGTAAATATTATGTGGATGGTCCACATGAATAGTTTGTTACTATTTATGCACAGTATTTTCACTATTCATTTGTGGAAAATTTGTAAAGTGAATAGTGCTTTCTTTTGTTTATATAAAGGAAGAAGAGGAATGAAGTGAGGGGAGTTCACGGGAAAGAAAGAGAGGAAGGAAGGAAGAGGAAGAGAGAGAAGGAAGAGGAAGAGAGAGAATAGAGGAAGATGAGAGGAGATAATAGAGAGAGTTATCTTTGTACTCCTATTATTTCAAATTATAATGAAAGCACCGCTGCTGCCCCGAGGACGTACTCCAGTCACACTGACTGTAGAGGAACCTCGTAAATTTGTGTCTTGTTTCATTTATTCCACTGCACCCACAATCGATTTTACAACAGAAATGAGTTTCTTAGAGAAAAGTTCAAGCTCCATCAAACTTGAACTTGAGCGTGAAAATCTGACTCCTTCACCATAAAATTGGGTGCACTGGCGGCTTCCACTCTTTCGCTAGGTCTATTATTCATCTCAAACACTAAAAGGTGTAGAGACATTAGAGTTTTTACTTTAGAACATAAAGGAGAATCTAGACAAGGTGGATCCATGTGGATAGGAATTGGTGGAATAGCTACATAGGTCTTGAAATCAAGATCCAAAGGTTAGTGTGTCTATTCATCTCTTTGCTTTGATTTTGAAAAATCATGTGGATACACTAACAAAATCTTGAAGGAGCTTTAGTTTATTAAACATAGCCCTTGCTTCTATTTGCCTTGTCTAGCTTTGCATTTTGATTTAATTGTTAGATCTAGCCATGCATGTTAGATTATATGTTAAAATTATGAAATCTCAAGCATCCCTAATAATTAGAATAGTATGTCTTCAACATTTGCAAATAGCATGGAATTTATATTAGCTAGAAATGAACTACAACAAATTATTCAGAGGGCGACAAATGAGTAGATACAATCCTTGCTCCATGAATAGATTGAAAAAAATCACAAACTCCAGAGAAATCTGTATCTGAGATTGAGCTTTTATATAGACAGGAACAGATAAACATAACTGTGTATCTGTTCCTGAAGAGACAAACTGATTCTTCAATTTGAATCGAAAAAGGTTATATCAAATCAAATAGTATTGAACACAATTTCCCTTAACAGTCACATACCAAATGAAGCACCATTTAATAAGAATCAAATTCTCTAACATATATGATACACGCGCGAGCGCACACACACACACATATCATATATCTGGAAGATTCTTACCTTATGGATGTGCTTGGACTCCGATCAACCTTCAAATTTAAGTTCTTTTTGGCATGGATCTCTTCTCGAACCTCAAAATTTAAGGCTTAGATAGATTCCAATCGAGGTTTATAATGGCTCGAGAAATTTTGTTAGCAATTTCTTCCCTCTTTAGTTTGGTGTAGGCATGTATGACGGCGGAGAGAACGAGAAATCTAGAGAAAAACAATTTCTCTATTTGAGACTTGTCGGTGAGATCTGGGACTTTGACGGAAAAGTAGGAAGAGTGGTTTGGGATTCGGGGTCTCTGCGAGAGATCTGATGATGTTCGTCGTGTAATTGCCAAAAAATTCGATGACAACACTGCACAATAGTTTGTTAGTTTTTGTTCTAAGGTCACGCATAGAAGACACTAGCACATTTTCTGATAATGTAAGTTAGTTGTCGAGTTGTGCTGCTAGTTATTTCTTGAGAAGTTTGTAAAGACCTGTATTATATAAGCATAGAATTTTCCTTTAAGTGATGCTTGCAACGATGGTTGTGTAATTCATGTTATAATTATCTTTTCTATTAAAAAAAAGGGGTAAAGTACAAAAAACTACCTCAACTATTGATGTCACGACACTTTCATACCTCATCTTTTAAAATTGACAATGTCATATCTCATCTTACAAATTTGAGCCAATGTCAAACCTCCGTCAATTTTTCTGTTAAATGCTGACGTGGCCAAAGACGGGACCTATTTTTTATTAAAAAATTAATTAAAAATTAAAAATTAAAAAAAAACAAAAAAACAAAAAAAACAAAAAAACAAAAACAAAAACAAAAAAAAACAAAAAAACAAAAAACCAAAACCCAACCCTCTCTCTCTCTCATCTCTCTGTCCCACCCAACCCTCTCTCTCTCATCTCTCTCTCTCGCCTCTCTCTTTTCTCTCTCCCTGTAACCTGCATCCCTAAAATCCCAAAACCTAGAAATCCTTCCTACCTGTACCCCCCCCAACCTTCATCTCCGATCCCATCGACGACAACCCTACCTCTGTTGTTGACTCCAGTGATGACAGCCACGACCCTCAATTGCTCCAAACCCTAACTCTAGCCACAACCTCCATAACAACATTCCCTTCTCCTCCTCGCCCTTGGAGTCTACCCCTCCGACGATTTGCGAGAGAAAAACAAAACAATAACAACAACAAAAACAATAATCCCAATAGAAAAACTCTCTGTTTTTCCCAGAAAATTCAGAGATTTTCCGAGAAAATTAGAGGAGGTATGGGAAACAGAGAGAGAGAGTGTGATTTGAGAGTGGCTCTCTTTGGTTTGAGTTTTCGATAAATGGTGTATATAGGCGGGTCGAATGAGGAGAGAAAATGGAGGTGAAGTCCATGGCGATGGGTTCTGAGAGGGTGAAGCCTCTGCACAATTTCAACTTGTCGTGGTATTTGAAGTGGGGGAATCAGAAGCACCTGTGGTGCCAAAAGGAGAGCTCCGACGCCAGCGGGAGTGGCGGGGAAAGGTCTGGGGTTAATCAGTGATCGTCGGCTCAGAGGATTGAGAGCTCGCCGACAGTGATGACTCGGGTGGGAATGGTTTCTGTGTTTTGGGATTTTAGGGATGCAGGTTGCAGGGAGAGAGAATAGAGAGAGGCGAGAGAGAAAGATAGAGAGAAGAGAGAGAGAGTTGGGTGGGGGAGAACTCAGAGAAAAGGGTCTGGGTTCTTGGGGAGGGGGGACACGGGTTGATAGGTTTTTTTTGGTTTTTTGTTTTGGTTTTTTTTAATTTTTTAATATTTAATTATTTTTTTTAATAAAAATGGGTCCCGTTTCTGGCCACGTCAGCATTTAACAGAAAAAGTAAAAGAAAAACTAATGGAGGTCTGACATTGGCACAAATTCGTAAGATGTGGTATGACATTGTCAATTTTAAAAGATGAGGTATGAAAGTGTCGTGACACCAATAGTTGAGGTAGTTTTTTGTACTTTACCCAAAAAAAAAAACAAAGTTTTAAACAAAATATATTAAGGCTATTTTGGAAATAATTGTGGGTGGAGAAATAACATTTTACTTTTTAACTTTTTATGGTGGGTGTGATTATCATGTGAGTGGGATAATAGGACACTGAGATGAGTCTAGTAGTACTCTTATTTAAACAGTCACAATTAAATCACGTATAAATATGGAGTTGACTTCTTTATAGAAGAAAAAAGAAAAAGAGGAGAGTGAGAAAGAAGGAAACTTGAGGAAGGAAATTTGAAGAGGAGCTAATCGATCCATAAAATACTTAACCACAAAGATGACCTTACTTTGTTTTTAGGTGAAAAACGGAAAAGATTATATTTTCGACCACATTCATGTATCGCATCATGTGGCAAATGATATATATACTATGCCAATTAATACGTTCATCTCATTTGACGTTGGTTATATATGTCCATTGTCAGATTACTATTTGTAGGCTAAAATACTTTTGTGGCCCATGTAAAAACGCTTGCACTTTTAATGTAGAGAATTTTAACGAAAAGCCCACGGTACTATTTATTTTAACGAAAAACCACATTTTTACACTAAAAAGTCAAACCTGGTACTATTCACTTTACCCTTTATTTTGTCCTTATCATTAAAACTCAAAGTTTTCAAGCTCTTTTCATTAGTTTTTCTTTTAATGTAACCCCTACGGTAGAAAGCTGTTAATTTAACACTTAAGATTGACTCCGTTACATTAACAATTACAGTCCAAATCAAAGTTTATGTTAATCTTCAATTAATAAAATACATGTGACCCTCATCTGCGAGGAGCTTTGCTCTCCTAATTAAGCATCAAAAGACACTAATGAGCAGCTGAGATTTAGTTAAATTTTAACCGCTTACTCGTGAAAAATGGTCAAGAACTTGGAAGAACGTTGTGGGTTGAGGAGGGGAAGAAGGGAAGGACGAAAACAACATTTTAGTAGAGAAACAGAAACTGAGAGCTCTCAGACTCAGTCGTAAGTAACAAGCAACCTAAGATCCTCAAGACATGCCGTAATAAGATTAAGAAACATTAAGACTTTAACAGAAACATATCCGAGAATAACGCATTTTTCGCAAAAGAAAAAAATTCAAGTACAAACTAAAACAAATGCATAATACCTATCAACTCCCGCGTCGTGCCGAACCGATCATACCGGGAGTTGATACTGTCATCCTACAACTTATATCGAAGATCAAATTCTAGAAGAAGAGCAAAATGTTCCCATACAACCCACAAGAAGCTTCAACAGTAAGACTAATGAGTTCCATAACCCAGCTGGCTATCAATATCTATTGCAACGAAGCCCTCTTCCTCCTTTTCCAAGTCTCTTTTCGTTTCCTTAAAATCCACCTCTGTAATAGCTATCGCAGCGCGCTTCCTCTTCAACTCATTACCCAATAGATCCATATCTTCTCTCAGTCTTTTCACTCTCCTTGCCCTTTCCAGGTGCTGCTTCATGGCCAAAGCTGATCGAACATGAGGCTCCAGCCACGCCAAGTCAAATGTGAACATCTGAACATCCTCCCATAAGCTTTGAAGGAGTGCAGAGCCATCCTTAGTCATATCCTTGACCCTCGCAGTCTTGAGGAAATGCAAGACTCCCCCTAAAGCTGTGAACGCGCATTCAACAACCTTACGATTTCTCTTATGTAGGCACTCAATCAATGAAGGATGCAACGAACAAACTTCCTCCAGCAGCGGAACAAAAGCTTTCTTGATTTGTCCTAAGCCCCTAAATTCCATAAGCTCACCCGTTAGGTTGGTGGGCACTTCCCCGAGTTCCTTGACCAGAGAAGGGTCAGTAGGGCCATCATCAGCTGGCGTAGTGCAAACTTTTTCAGAACTTGGCGTATGCTGGAATTCAGAACGTGGTGTCTTAGCCGCCGGTGAAGAGTCTGCAGCTTGAACAGAATTCACAGTGGAAAGTTCTTTCCCTGAGTGCTCCAAACTTGCAGAAACATTACTTCCTTGGTCTCCAGTCTTGATTGAGACATTAAGCTTGGCTTCGACAATACATGTATCATTCACAAGAGAACCTGCACTGATGTCATAAAGCTCACTGAGAGGCATGAACGATTTGAAGCCCCACTCCCTGCTGTTTTCTTTGAACTCTTTTATACATCCTGTTATCAAGGAAAACAAAAACAATAATCAAGAATGCAAAGGTCATCACCAATAAGTACGGAGTTAATGAAAAGAGGAAGTCTATTTTGGGGTTACCGTATTATTCTATTTTCGACATACAGGAATTCAATCAATAATTAATGCTACGGCCACATATAAACTCACACACACACACACACACACACACACACACACACACACACACACACAAGACACATACATTACCAATAACTTAATAAGAGAGTGATGAACAACAATCAACGAACCATTTCAAATAAAAGTACAATGGTTTCATATTCAATAGATCCTATTCATTGATAATTACTATTACTGTTTCATTTTTACAACTGAAAGTTATAGGATGGGTACTAGTTTAACCTAGAGGGGGTGAATATGTTCCAATTTAAAAATCCAATTTAATTTTCAATTTAATTTTCAGTTCTTAAATTAAATCCACATTCACATCACATATAAACTATCCTACACATATGCAATTATAAACATAAATAAAATGCGCACACAGGATGTAAGATTTAACGAGGCAAAACCCACCACTAGGAAAATCCTCGAGCTCCCAAGCCAGGACAAACACTAAGAGAAATAAGTACATAAAGACTTACAAAACTCATCAACTAGACACGCATACTAGTAGACAATTTTGTCTCCACACTTTGCTACTCAATCTCTCTTCAGCCTTCGAGTGGAAGTGGCACGACATTAATGCGATCGTCAATCACTGTCTCCTCGAACTTTGCAAGAGACTATCTCAATCATGCAAAATGTATGTATGATGGAATGATTTTTGAAAATCAACCAATTACGAAAATCACAAGACACATTTTCATAATTGATTTTGATTAAAGCCCGAATAAAAACAGTGAAGAAAAACTGAATTTTGTCTTTTAAAATCACACAGCTGAAACTGTTTTTCTCACACTAGCACACTGACGTAAAGATTAAATTGTAATGCCCTCTGTGTGTATTAGACTAGCTATGCGACAACAACCAAATATATAATCATATATGCTCACGCAACATGAAGTGACTACACCATCTATGAAGCACTCACAACCTCATCCATGCTATTTTTCTCACTGAACTCTTCTCGGTGCAAGTGTATCTCACTAAAACCTCACTCATGCATAAGCGGCAGTCAAAACAACCCCTGATCTAATGCATGTTGCAGGAACCAAAACAAGAATTATGATATGATATGATGATCACTTTTAAAACCCTAACGGATGCTCTGCAAATAAATAGCTACTTTCAATCCATATATATGTTGTAATACGGCAGCGGCCAGAAACCCTAACCTAATGCATCTATAAATAGACTGCAGTAGAAGACTTTAACTTGATTTCAAATTCCTTAAGATTGGAAGGACATGTTACGAGATAAAAATTAAAACCAATAGGAATTATTAATATGCTAAAGGTGCAAATCTACATATCAACAAGTAGTCTAGGGATATGCGGCTAATTAAAAAGACATGGGCTTTTAATTCAAATAATGGAATCTTAATTAAAATATCAAACTAATAAATGTGTGAAGTCCAAACTAAATAATCCATTTAACATAGACTTAGACTATATGAATGCATATGCATGCCAAATTTACCTGAGTGGATGTCTCTGAAACAATTGTCATTTTGTGATCGAGAGCACGTGAGACAAACTTAGACTAAAATAATTACAACTGAAAACAAGCACTAGTCTAAGATTACAGACTCAGGTGTTTTGTTTAGGAACTGCCAATTTTACTCTAACAATCTCCCCCTTTGGCATTTCCTAGACAAAACCCTCAATCATAAATTACAGACAACTAATAAAATTAACGACCATGCATAACATTGAAGTCTGTAACCTGCACACACTCAAACAAGAAAACTTGTGACGTACAAAAGATATACGTTGCTCAAAATGAAAGCATTTAAAAAACAACCAGGTTTTCGAAATTCTACTTCTCCCCCTAAATATAAGCTTCTTAATTCTCCCCCTTTTTGTCTAGAAAGGTCAAAGGCCTTAGAGGTAACCATTAGGTGCAGTTAGCGGAAGATATGTGGAACATAACACAATGTGATGAAGAAAGATTTCCTTTCTGTGAACTAGAACCTCTTCGGAAGAATACAAGTGGGGACGAAATTGGGAGGGAAAAGAATACAAGTGCAATAGTCGAAAAGAGAAACATGAAAAGAAATGCATCTTTCATATTGTTAAGCTCCCCCTAAACAAATGCTTTAAAAAATAATGAAATGCAGCACACAAATGATATGATTTTTATTTTTATTTTTTTATTTTTTGTTGAATTGTATGAGAAGCATATAATTGTTCCAACAAGAATGAAAGAGTGCAAAAACACATGTAGCTCTGAATCCTCATTCACAACCTAACATTGTCCCTAAAACATAACATGTATGGTGTAGTTGCAAGTATAGCCGAAAGTTGATACTACACAAATGTAATTAAGTCTTACATGACCAACTTAACTTTAACCCTTAAGCTCACAAGATATACCCTTGAATTTTCATTCAAAGTGTTTGGGGGTAAGTGTATACGCTCAAAATATTATTTCATGAATGCTCTACCATAGGCTTGCAGATTGATCTCATCTCCACACATCAAAAATTAACTTATTTGGATCAAGTAGGACTTTGTTAAGGGTGTAATAGGGCTTCGGGTACTCAGTTAAAGAAATGAAAGATATAGGAAACGCAAAATCTAAGAAACTAATAGATTAGTTGGAAATGAAATCGAGAGAAGCATGCAACAATTAACCAAGCAACTTGGCAGTATATTGAGTGGTTGGATGAACGACATATAGTTAGCACAATTGATTTATGATGATTCTTCCTTTTCATTTACAATGACACACTTGATTTCTTATAATGTTGGCAGCTCACTTGTGATTCATAGTGACTTCTTTTCATCTTTTGCTCTTCATTTGTAGTTGGCTTTCTTCACAAAATTTGCATCTTCAACTTTTACATAACCTTGAACTCTCTCCTTTGAAAAACGTACTATACTAGCTTCTTAGTAGGGTAGGGAATTTTTAATATAAGAGGCTAGGATAGGAAAATGTAGGTTTAAGAACAAAAGGCTTACATAAAGGCTCAAAATGGCTAACTAGGGGAAAAAAATATAAGGCACTGACATATATGGCAATGGTGGTAAGTCCTAATGCCTACTATCATCTCCAAATAGAATAATATATGATACAAAGTTTTGAGAGGTCTCAAAGCAAGTTCTAGAGAAGCAAAACACATAAGATCGCACACATGAAAAAAAATAAGAGTGTACGAAAAATGCACACTATATTAGGCACAAAAATTCACATGGGTGCGGGTTTTTCTCAAGTTCAACATGTTCAACTCATTAACATTGATATATTATCAACAAGAGGCTATTGTCCACAATAGGGTCAAACATATCATGCTAGGGTCATGCTATCAAGTAAACAAAGCTAGAGCTCATATGAAATCACACTTTTTAATTTCACCTCACACAATTTTATTTTTATTTTTTAAATTTTTAACAAGAAAAAAATGCAACATATATTATATGAACATGCAAGCATACATGAATGAAAAAATTTGCAAAGAGAGAGCTCAATCAATATAAACAACTTGAAGGTGGAGATAAATTGACAAGTACACCACTTTGATTCTCTTTTCTTCTCCAAACTTGTCTCGCTTTTGGAACTACCGTACTCGGAACAGATATAATTCTTGTAATCCAATAATATATGGTTTGAAGAATATGTATCTTCTCTAACAATGACTCTCGCAATGTCTCTTCATTGTCCAACTAAGATTGATGCTCAACTTCAGCTTCTTTCTTTTCACTTTCAATAAGTGCAAGTTTCTTCTTCAAGTTAGAGTTATCCTTCTTTACTTGCACACTGATGTCATGGAGATCAGAATATTTTCTCAAGACTTCTTCCAAGTTAGGTTCTTCAACAAATGAACCTTCTATGTCATATCCATCAATAGTTCCTATAAACGCAATTGTATTCTTCTCAGATTCCGACGTAGATGCATCCCCTGAATCATTATCACTCCAAGTGACCTTCATTGCCCTATTCTTCTTCTTTTTTCTCTTGATAGTGTTTGCACACTCAAAAGCAATGTGTCTATAGCCTTGACACTCATGGCACTGAACCCTATTGTTAGAATTCTTATGTTCACTAGTTCTAGATGATCTAGAGGCTTTGTCATGTGAGACATCTAGAGAACGAAAGTTTTTTGAGTTCGAACCTAAGTTGGTTCGTTGCTTACGACCCTTGGAATTTTGAGACTTAAGAAACCTTCTAATTTGCATGGTTAATTCAACTAATTCATCTTCGGACAAGTCTTCAATTGAGCCATCACTTTCTTCTTCTTTGACAGCTTTGAGAGCAATGCTTTTCATCTTCTTGGAATCAGGAAGCTCTAACTCATACGTTTACGGAGACCTAATCAATTGCTCAAGCTTGTAGGTGTTTAGATGTTTCAATTCCTCAATCGATGTCCTCTTAGCATGAAACCTCATAGGAAGTGATCTTAAGATCTTTTTCACAATCCTATGCTCAGGAATACTGTCACCAAGATTGTGACAGCCATTGACAATTACGCTAAGCTTAGCATAAAAGTCAAAGAAACTTTCATCATCAGACATTGTGATATTTTCGAATTTTGTGATGAGAAGATGAAGTTTGGATTCTTTAACAGTTGAGTTACCCTCATGAGTAACTTCAAGAATGTCCCAAGCTTCTTTCATTGTTGTACACTTACTTATGCAATTGAATTGTTCAGGCGAAACGGCTGTGAATAAAGCATTCAAAGCCCTTTGGTTAAAAGTGCTAGAGCTACGCTCATCATTACTCCATTCTTTCCTAGGCTTAAGCTTAGATATAGACACATAGGACTTTCCCCTTACCCTTGGTTTCTTCAATCTTCAGAGGTTCCCAACCTTCTTCAACAGCAAGCCACACCTTGTCATCTTGTGCCCACAAAAACGATTTCATTTTCACCTTCCACGCAACATAGTTGTCACCATCAAAATGTGGTGGATGAGAAACTGAACCCATAGCACGATTCATCCTAGACTACCCACGGATCTCACTAGGTATTTTTAGTGACCTGCTCTGGTGCCAATTGAAAGTTCTAGGATGGGTACTAGTTTAACCTATAGGGGGTGAATAGGTTCCAATTTAAAAATCCAATTCAATTTTCAATTTAATTTTCAATTCTCAAATTAAATCCACATTCACATCACATATAAACTATCCTACACATATACAATTATAAAGAAATAAAATGCGCACACAGGATGTAGGATTTAACGAGGCAAAACCCACCACTAGGAAAATCCTCGGGCTCCCAAGCCAGGACAAACACTAAGAGAAATAAGTACAGAAAGACTTACAAAACTCATCAACTAGACACGCATACTAGTAAGCAGTTTTGTCTCCGCGCTTTGCTACTCGATCTCTCTTCAGCCTTCGAGTGGAAGTGGCGCGATACTAAAGCGGTCGTTAATCACTATCTCCTCGAACTTTACAAGATATTATCTCAATCATGCAAAATGTATGTATGATGGAATGATTTTTGAAAATCAACCAATTATGAAAATGTCAACCAATTACGAAAATCACAAGGCACATTTTCATAATTGATTTCGATTAAAGCCCGAATAAAAACAGTGAAGAAAAACTGAATTTTGTCTTTTAAAATCACATGATTGAAACTGTTTTTCTCACACTAGCGCACTAAAGTAAAGATTAAATTGTAATGTCCTCTGTGTGTATTAGACTAGCTATGCGACAACAACCAAATATATAATCATATATGCTCACGCAACATGAAGTGACTACACCATCTATGAAGCACTCACAACTGCATCCATGCTATTTTTCTCACTGAACTCTTCTCAGTGCATGTGTATCTCACTAAAACCTCACTCATGCAGAAGCGGCAGTCAAAATAACCCCTGATCTAATGCATGTTGCAAGAACCAAAACAAGAATTATGATATGATATGATGATCACATCTAAAACCCTAACGCATGCTCTGCAAATAAATGGCTACTTTCAATGCATATATATATTGTAATACGGCAGCGGCCAGAAACCCTAACCTAATGCATCTATAAATAGACTGCAGTAAAAGACTTTAAGTTGATTTCAAATTCCTTAAGATTGGAATGACATGTTACTAGATAAAAATTAAAACCAATAGGAATTATCAATATGCTAAAGGGGCAAATCTACAGATCAACAAGTAGTCTAGGGATATGCGGCTAATTAAAAAGACATGGGCTTTTAATTCAGATAATGGAATCTTAATTAAAATATCAAACTAATAAATGTGCGAAGTCCAAACTAAATAATCCATTTAACATAGACTTAGACTATATGAATGCATATGCATGCCAAATTTACCTGAGTGGATGTCTCTGAAACGATTGCCATTTTGTGATCGAGAGCACGTGAGACAAACTCAGACTAAAATAATTACAACTGAAAACAAGCAATAGTTTAAGATTACAGACTCAAGTTTTTTGTTTAGGAACTGCCAATTTTACTCTAACAACAACTCTATACTTTTTTTGAGTGCAATTCAACTCCTCGAGAAAGCAAGGTGCTTGTAATTCAAGTAATTAAGAGGATATTCATCCGAGGTTCCATGTCACCACAAAGAGATGTCAAGATTAAAACAATACAGTTTGCCGGATTTGTGATTGAGTTGTCGGTATCAAGTTGATTAACCAGGGTTAAGCTAAAGTTGGCAAATTTACTACACCCAAGTGACTGTTAAAAACAGAGAGTTAAAGAAAAATATAAAAACTAAGTTGCAAACGGTGTTCCAACGCGATAGAAAATCCATATAATGTTAACAGCCATAGATATATTAATGCAAAACTGATCAGACTCTGGAATACACCAAGTAATATCACCAACAAAGCTTAGGAATTCTAATTAGTTATTGATGACTAACAGGGAGCATAAATGATAATGCTTAGTTAAACAATTTATACTAGAAACTCACTTCAAATCCCCTATTTAAAATCTTTTATGACCAACGATGTCCTATAAGGAGATAATTATCTGTTAAATAATTTATGCTAGAAACTCACTCCAAATCCCTTGTTTTAAATCATTCTACCCAATGCACCATAACTTATTACAACCAACGACACATGTCGCATTAAGAACTAACGATCCGTTAAACAATTTATGCTAGAAACTCACTCCAAATCCCTTATTTTAAATCATTCTACCTAGATGCACCATAACTTATTACAACCAACGACGCATGTCACATTAAGAGCTAGCAATCCGTTAAACAATTTCTGCTAGAAAATCACTCCAAACCCCTTGTTTTAAAGCATTCTACCCAAATGCACCATAACTTATTACAACCAACGACGCGTGTCGCATAAAGAGCTAACGATCCATTAAACAATTAATTTACGTTATAAACTCACTCTGAATCCCTTGTTTTAAGCCTTTTTATCCAAATGTACCTCAATTTATTACAATCAACGACACATGTGTCACATAAATGATAATAGATCCGTTAAACAATTTATACTAGAAACTCACTTCACATCCCTTGTTTTAACTCTTTCCACCCAAATGCACCATAACTTTTACAATTAACGACTCGTGTCGCATATCAACAACTAACAAAAACAGAAGCAGTTTGACAAAAAACAAAAAAAAACAAAAACAGGATGGAAATTCCATTTAAGAAGTTTCGCTTGCCATAACGACAAGATCACACAGAAAGAACAGAAACATGATTCATGAAGAGTAAAGGAAATACCCTTCGTAACCTTCGTGATTGTCTTGGTGCTGTCCAGTTGATTGACCACACTCAAGCTGAAATCGGCAGATCTAGCCCAACCAGGTTCCAAAGTTGAAGCAATTGGAGCACACAAGTACACGGAGAACTGCATTTCGGATTTTACTTTGTTGCCCTTCGGCCATATAAGCATCCTCCTGACAAATTAAAATTATCAAACCAAGGGGCACAACGATATTAAAATTGTAGGTCATGATCCTAATACTTTAGGGCATGTATTGGTCTTCTACTAGGGTTTGGCTCTTTTGGGCTACCTTTGTGAATAGGGTTACTTGTGGAAGCTTCTAGATTGTTCCTATTTCGATCTCTTTCTTTAATTTTTTATTGGGAATGACAGTGGAGTTTCTAAATACCATGACAAATTTGCAAAACAATAAAATATAAAAATTAATTAAAAAAATAACATATGAGCCTGAAGCTGCTATGAGGTCGATGGATTCATAAAAAAAAATTATCTTTGGAGTTGGAGAGATATTTTAGTGTACCGGAAACACTGTTCAGTATATAACAATACAAGTGATTGGAAATTTTGAAAAAAAAATTGGGTTCTTTAAATATAGACCCTTGCAACCCTTATTTATTAGATAAAAACCCACCTAGTTATAAACATCCAAATAAAACCCAAATTTAAAAATGACTGCCAAGTTTAGAAGTAATTGACCTATTATTACAAAATATTTACAATTTGTACCACAATATTCAAAATAAAATCAATAAATATTATTAGTCACATATTATTACCCCTAACACACACATATATACGTTCAAATGTATATATTACTACCATAAGCTCAATATATATGTGTGTGTATATACATACATACATATATATATACACACACACACACACACATACATGCACAGTACTATATATATGAGCAAACATATTAAAATAATTAATCTACCTATATTTAAATTTATGATGAGCAAATAACATATATTTTGTAGGTAAATTAATATTGAATCAAATAACATTCTTTTAGTTTGTAGGTAATTTATTTTCCATCTATTATTACATATATTTGGCACATTTTATTATTATAAGATATATGTACAAATAATAGGTAATTAATCTTGAATAAAATACACTTGCTTTATTTTGAAAGTAAATTAATTTTGAATCAAATAATAGGTAAACTAGTATTGAATAAAATAATAACATTTATTTACATAGGTATATTATTTTGCATGTACTTTGCATATATTGAGTTTGCTTTATTATGTAGGAAATTTTTTTTGCATGAATTTTTTTTGTATATCAGGTTTTTTTTTTTGTTATATATATGTGTGTGTGTGAAATAATTTACCTACATATTGACTTAACTAAGCATGTATTACTAGGCCTGGCAAACGGGTCGTGTCAGTCGTGTTCGTATCGTTTTCGTGTAACACCTGTTATCTTAACAGGTCGTGTCGTGTCACACCCGTTATCTTAACGGGTCCTTAACAGGTCGTGTCACTTTACCCAACGGGTAAAGTGACCCGACCCGTTATGACCCGTTATGACCCGTTAAGAAAAATATATTTTTTTTCTTAAATTTGCACATATCACACATTGCCACATAAATATTACTTCAAAACATTAAAACACATTTGTCGTTTAAGTACTACATCTACACTCGAAAATAAGAGCCTAATAAAAAAATAATACATACACTACTAATCTATTACAAATTTTAAATGTGCAAGGATATGCAAAATGAAACAGTTTTTGTGAAATCTTTTTCAAAATTTTAAACCTTAATTTACAAAATCCTCGATTTACATCGATCATCATGAAATTGCATTGAAACTTTGGCTTGATCTATTGCCTTCAAGAGTTATGTTGATGATATTTTCAGTAAGGTTTTCCACGTCATAACTATCTTCTGCATAAACTAAGCATAGAAAAACCAAACATTAAAAATCATTCAAATTATGAGAAGTTTACCAAAATAATTATGAAAAAAAATAAAACAATAGTACTATACCATACTTTTATTAAGTATAAACATAAGATTTTGTGGTATCCACTAGCGTAAATATTTTAAATTGAAGATCGAATTCAATCATTGTATTCATATAAGGTCAAGGAGTGTAGTTGTAAAAAATCATCAAAATCGGAGTTAAATTAACCGTTAAATCGTGATTTTTCGTTTATAACCGTCGAAAAGTTTTGTCCCGTTACGTGCTCTCTGAATGTTTGTTTTTTGCAATTTTTGGCGTATGCGATCTCGAAATATATACAAACATGTGTGACGGTTAGATCATTGAAACTAGTTTCGTATAATGAGTATCCCATCAAAACAATAGATTCACTAATACTTAAGAGTTTATTCATACTTTTATTAAGTATAACATAAGATTTTGTGGTTTCCACTAGTGTAAATATTTTAAATTGAAGATCGAATTCAATCACTGTATTCATATAGGGTCAAGGAGTGAAGTTGTAAAAAATCATCAAAATCGGAGTTAAAATGACCGTTAAATCATGATTTTTCGTTTATAACCGTTGAAAAGTTTTGTCCCGTTACTTGATCTCTGAATGTTTGTTTTTTGCAATTTTTGGCGTATGCAATCTCGAAGTATATATAAACATGTTTGACGGTTGGATCATTGAAACTAGTTTCGTAGAATGAGTATCCCATCAAAACAATAGATTCACTAATACTTAATAGTTTATTCAAACTTTTATTAAGTATAGTATAAGATTACTAGTGTAAATATTCTAAATTGAAGATCGAATTCAATCATTGTATTCATATAGGGTCAAGGAGTGTGGTTGTAAAAAAACATCAAAATCGGAGTTAAAATGACCGTTAAATCGTGATTTTTCGTTTATAACCGTCGAAATGTTTTGTCCCGTTACTTGATCTCCGAATGTTTGTTTTTTGTAATTTTTGACGTATGCGATCTTGAAGTATATACAAACATGTTTGACGGTTGGATCTTTGAAACTAGTTTCGTAGAATGAGTATCCCATCAAAACAATAGATTCACTAATAAGTAATAGTTTATTCATACTTTTATTAAGTATAATATAAGATTTTGTGGTTTCCACTAGTGTAAATATTTTAAATTGAAGATCAAATTCAATCATTGTATTCATATAAGGTCAAGGAGTGTAGTTGCAAAAAATCATCAAAATCAGAGTTAAAATGACCGTTAAATCGTGATTTTTCTTTTTATAACCGTCGAAAAGTTTTGTCCCGTTAATTGATCTCTGAATGTTTTTTTGTAATTTTTTTGACAATATTTTTGACATATGCGATCTCGAAGTACATACAAACATGTTTGACGGTTGGATCTTTGAAACTAGTTTCGTAGAATGAGTATCCCATCAAAACAATAGATTCACTAATACTTAATAGTTTATTCATACTTTTATTAAGTATAACATAAGATTTTGTGGTATCCACTAGTGTAAATATTTTACATTGAAGATCGAATTCAATCACTGTATTCATATAAGGTCAAGGAGTGTAGTTGTAAAAAATCATCAAAATCGGAGTTAAAATAACCGTTAAATCGTGATTTTTCATTTATAACCGTCGAAAAGTTTTGTCCCGTTACTTGCTCTCTGAATGTTTTTTTTTTTTGAAATTTTTGGCGTATGCGATCTCGAAATATATACAAACATGTTTGACGGTTGGATCATTGAAACTAGTTTCGTAGAATGAGTATCCCATTAAAACAATAGATTCACTAATACTTAAGAGTTTATTCATACTTTTATTAAGTATAACATAAGATTTTGTGGTATCCACTAGTGTAAATATTTTAAATTGAAGATCGAATTCAATCATTGTATTCATATAAGGTCAAGGAGTGTAGTTGTAAAAAATTATCAAAATCGGAGTTAAATTAACCGTTAAATCGTGATTTTGTCGTTTATAACCGTCGAAAAGTTTTGTCCCGTTACTTGCTCTCTGAATGTTTGTTTTTTTGCAATTTTTGGCGTATGCGATCTCGAAATATATAAAAAACATGTTTGACGGTTGGATCATTGAAACTAGTTTCGTAGAATGATGAGTATCCCATCAAAACAATAAATTCACTAATACTTAAGAGTTTATTCATACTTTTATTAAGTATAACATAAGATTTTGTGGTATCCACTAGTGTAAATATTTTAAATTGAAGATCGAATTCAATAATTGTATTCATATAGGGTCAAGGAGTGTAGTTGTAAAAAATCATCAAAATCGGAGTTAAAATGACCGTTAAATCATGATTTTTCGTTTATAACCGTCGAAATGTTTTGTCCCGTTACTTGATCTCTGAATGTTTGTTTTTTGCAATTTTTGGCGTATCCGATCTCAAAGTATATATAAACATGTTTGACGGTTGGATCATTGAAACTAGTTTCGTAGAATGAGTATCCTATCAAAACAATAGATTCACTAATACTTAATAGTTTATTTATACTTTTATTAAGTATAATATAAGATTTTGTGGTTTCCACTAGTGTAAATATTTTAAATTGAAGATCGAATTCAATCATTGTATTCATATAAGGTCAAGGAGTGTAGCTGCAAAAAATCATCAAAATCAGAGTTAAAATGACCGTTAAATCGTGATTTTTCTTTTTATAACCGTCGAAAAGTTTTGTCCCGTTAATTGATCTCTGAATGTTTGTTTTTTGTAATTTTTGACGTATGCGATCTCGAAGTATATACGAACATGTTTGACGGTTGGATCTTTGAAACTAGTTTCGTAGAATGAGTATCCCATCAAAACAATAGATTCACTAATACTTAATAGTTTATTCATACTTTTATTAAGTATAACATAAGATTTTGTGGTATCCACTGGTGTAAATATTTTAAATTGAAGATCGAATTCATTACTTGTATTCATATAGGGTCAAGGAGTGTAGTTGTAAAAAATCATCAAAATCAGAGTTAAAATAACCGTTAAATCGTGATTTTTGTTTATAACCGTCGAAAACTTTTGTCCCATTACTTGATCTCTGAATGTTTGTTTTTTGCAATTTTTGGCGTATGCGATCTCGAAGTATATACAAACATGTTTGACAGTTGGATCATTGAAACTAGTTTTGTAGAATGAGTATCCCCTCAAAATAATAGATTCACTAATACTTAAGAGTTTATTCATACTTTTATTAAGTATAACATAAGATTTTGTGGTATCCACTAGTGTAAATATTTTAAATTGAAGATCGAATTCAATCATTGTATTCATATAGGGTCAAGGAGTGTGGTTGTAAAAAATCATCAAAATCGGAGTTAAAATGACCGTTAAATCGTGATTTTTCGTTTATAACCGTAAAAAAGTTTTGTACCGTTACTTGCTCTCTGAATGTTTGTTTTTTGCAATTTTTGGTGTATGCGATCTCGAAGTATATACAAACATGTTTGACGGTTGGATCGTTGAAATTAGTTTCGTATAATTCGTATCCCATGAAGTTCAATGGTGTGTGTGTATATATATATTTATTTATTAAGTAGATTTAAATCTATTTATTTTGTATGTATAATTATTATAGTTTTTAGGGGTATAAAATTTCATATATATATATATATAATTATTATAGTTAATATTTTGGGTATAATTATTATAGTATATATAATTATTATAATTATTATAGTTAATTTAATATATATATATATATATAATTATTATAGTTTTTAGGAGTATAAAATTGTTAAATTAATATATATATATAATTATTATAGAATTTTTTTAGGGTTATAAATTATTAAATTAATATTCTGTTTATCGTGTATCGTGTTACCCACGTGTATACCTGAACAAACCCGTTATCTTAACAGGTGCTTATCGGGTTACCCGATAACGACCCGTTTCGTTATCGTGTCGACCCGAACACCTGTTAATTTCGTGTCGTGTCGTGTCGGGTTATCGGGTCGTGTTAGGAATTGCTAGGCCTATGTATTACTACATTTATTAGGCATGTTTTATTGTAATTATATATTAGGCCATTAATTCTCCCTTACAATTTGTATGGAATTAATTGTGTAAATCAAACATTCAAATAGGGGTGTTTTGGGCATCAAAATTTTTTAAATGTGTAAATTCAAATATAATTAATGAATTTGTTGATGTGGAATCTAGTCAATGAGTTTTATTCGAATAAAAAACTTATGTCGGATTTTATATGGAAAAAATTAAGTTTTAAGGGCTAAAGTCATATTTTCATAAAAAAAAATTAACCACTTATATTATAACACCTAGTGTATCGAGCTGTCTTCGCACGTTGAAAATTTTCTCATGAACTTGGAGGAGCTCAAAAGAACAAAAAATAAAATAAAACAAAACGAATCTTGAGAAAATAATAAAAATACCATTTGAAACCAGCGATGGTGAAAACGTCGGAGTAATTCTTGCCGGTCTGGAGCTTAGAGAAGTTTTCGATCAGCCATGTGAATGTCTCAGACACAATCTCTTCCCCTGCCTTCTTGATGTTCATCTACAAAACAAAAGAAAAAAAGATTAAAATCAAACACCCACACAAATGTAAACAAACGTGCAAATGATCGACGATGATAGACGATGAGAGAGACAAATAGATGTAACTTCAGACCACGATTCTGATGAGTGAGAGAGAGGGAGGAAATACACTCCATCAGAGCACTACACTCCAGCTCTTGGGGCTGTGCGGACAACCTCCAATTTTTATAATGCCCCGGTCAAAAATGTTCAACAGGGTAACGTTTATCCTGATTGTCTAGTATGGTGTGGGACCCACAAAACAGTGGATAAGCATCGGGATTTGTTTGTAACTGTCCTTTTGAGTAATATTAGGGAGGATAATATTTTTATATCATATTGGTGTACTATATGATATGGTTAATTATTCATATAATCAATATCTAATGAGATAAACTCATTAATTGATATTTAATATGTACATATCATTTGCTACAGTGCATCATATATCTCTCTGCGTTTCTTTTTTCTTTTTGTCGAAAAAAGAATTTGTTCAATTTAAAGTTTGAGATTGTAAGAGTGTTTAATAAAATTAAATATTCTCCTAACTTTTAATATAAATATATTGTTGTATAAAAAAATAACTTGATTAAAATATTCTAATTTTTCTCGCTACAGTGGTGGGGTGCTTGTTTGGTGGCAATTATGACCATAGAAATGTGGTGGTAACAAAGATGGTGGTGACGGCCACTGCGACTACTTCAATGGTAGCAGTATATATAATAATGTCTTTCAGTTCTCGTTATATTTGTTTCTAAAAATTACATCACTTATTAATCACTTGTATTTCTTATGCATACTCTCGTCCTCAAGTCTGGCTTCTCTTCCCTTTGGAAGAAAAAACCCACCACCTCCATCTTCCTCAACCCAACCTTACCACATCCCCTTGCTGAATCCAACTCCACCATCACCTCCACATGTCAATTATCTTTCAAGAAAATGATTTTTGCACTATTTTTTTTCACTTTCTATATAATTTTTTGTACATTCTGCATATTTTTCTATTTTCTTAACATTAAATTAAACAAATTAAAGGAGAATCAAGATCAATTAAGAACTTGTATGCAAAAAGTGAAAGAATGCGTCCACAAAACCTCCGTTTTCGAATTTCTTAATGGGTTTGTCGATTTATATTTTGATTTTGTTTGTTCTTTTGATTTATCCTCAACTTGGTCCTTGTTTCACCTCACTTGAAAGATTGTCCTCAATTAATTGTACAGTCTAGTATTTCGTTTTTTGGAATGCCAGATAGCTACCTTCTCTATTTCCTTTTTTTTTTCTATTTATCTTTTGCACTCATCACTTAACACGTGTATTTCACTAACAAATTAAACTACATAATGCATGCTTTTAGTTGGAAAATTAGAATTGTGATTTTAATGCACTAATTATGTAGTTTAATTTGTAAGTGGAATACATGTATCAAGTTATGAGTAAGAAAGATAAATTGGGAAAGGCAAATAGAAAAGATAGGTACCATTTGTTTACTTTTTGTAACTAGTTAAATAAAGGTTTTCAATTCTACATATAAATAACGAGGATGTTTATTATTTGTCTTGAGTTTGATACTTGTTTATGGTTGGCTCATGATGTTGCTCGGCCCAATTCCCTTCTCCTAAGCTGAAATTGAAGGAATTTCTAAAAAAATTATTTCCCATGTCTTTTTCTAGGGAAGGAAAATGCCTATATAAGTAACATTTCAATTGTCAATGAGGACATAATTCTCATAAATTTATGCTTTTTTAGTTAAAATGATCCCTAAGATTTGCATAACACATCACTTTTGGTCCATGAGATTGAAAATCAATAGAAATGTTCTAAACTTTCCTATCTTCATTTTGATATATTATAGGTCGAATTTGGTTAAGAAAAGATTGAGTTACGAAGCCTTAAAAATTGCCCAAACTTTTGGCCAAGAGCTCCGGGACACTTAACAGAGTTTTTAATGGCATGACCAAAATAATGGATAGTGGACAGTCTCATGGACCGTTTCTATTGATTTTCAATTTCAGAGACCATTTTGGTTAAAAAAAGCCTAAATTTACTCAATACTAGCCGCGACCTATACACCATGTGTGAACAGTTTTTTTTTTTTTTTCTTTATTTTTTCAATTGAATTGACATAGTTACAGTTTTTCTCTCATTAGAGAGATTTTTGAAACTTTGGTTAAAAGGTTGACAAGGTGGTGTTATGAGTGATGTTCCTTTTGTTTGATGGATTGACCTTACAGTTCAGGTGACGCTGTATTCTTACAGAGAAATTAAAACAACACAATAAAACTAATAAAGCTTGTGCGATAATCACCCTCAACATATTAAATAAGACACAAGAACTTCAAAACATGAAAATAAGCAAGGTTTGCGCTACATAAACAACAACCAAAAGTTCAGATATGCTGCAAAATAAAGACAACTAAAAACATATTGTCCAATTCCAACAACCTAGTTAACTATTGCATACCTAAAAACTGGAAAATTTGCAACACGAAGTACGAAGGCAAGGCATCATGTGCCGTAGACATTGTCATAGAGAAAGCCTTACAAAATAAGGCTAGCTAAATGCCATACCCTAACGGGCCATCCATGTCAATCCCATTGATGTCTTGCTCTGCCTTTGTCAAGTGTTTTTTCACTACTGCATGATCAATCGTTGTAGCAGCTAGTGCAGCCCTCCGCCTTTTCAGTTCATTCGCCAAAGCCTCCACATCATCTCTCAGCCTCTTCAATCTGCCTGCCTTATGTACAAACCTTGTCATATCGAATGCAGATTCAACATGAGGCTTCAACCATGCCAAATCAAACTTGAAGCTCTCAAGCTCCTCCCACAGAAGTTCAAGGCGGTTACAAGCATCCAGGGTCATATCCTTTACCTTTGTAGTTTTCAGAAAATGCAGAAGCCGACCCAAAGCTGTGAATGCACATTCTGAATATTTCTGACTTCTTTTATGCATACAGACAATCAGCTCAGGATGCGAGTTACAGACTCCCTCTAGCAGTGGCACAAAAACTTTCTCTATTTGCCCTAAACCCCTAAAATCCACAAGCTCTTCAATTGTGGTGTTTGGGACTTCTCCAAGTGCCCGGGCTAGGGAAGGGTCAGTAGGGCTAGCGACTGGGGGCTCAGTGTGAACTTGTCCCGAACCTTGTGCATCTTGGAAGGGGGCAAACAACAGTTCAGAGCATGGCGCGTTAGGTTCTGCAGAAGAGGTTAGAGCTTGCTCATGATTCACATATGAAAATTCAATAGTTGCAGAAATACCTGTTCCTTGGTGTTCAACCTTGATTGGGAAATTAAGATTGGCTTCAACAATACATACATCATTGACAAGATAACCAGCACTTTTGTCATAAAGCTCGCTGATAGGCATGAATGATGTGAAGCCCCACTCACTGTTGATTTCATTGAACTCTTGGGGAACACTACCTGCGAACCAAAATATCAAGGAAAGAAAAAACGAATATGTAAAGGGCATCACCAGACAATAAGGAAACAATAACAAAGGAGGACCATGTCAAAGTTACTACAGAAGTGTTCTGATACATTTAAATTCAATCAACAACAACGAGAAAGCCTTATCCCACTAAGTGAGGTCGGTTATATGAATCCTAAAATGTCATTGCCCTTGGTTTTGATACATTTGAATTCAATCAATGATAAAAAAAAATAAAAATAAAAGCTAGTAACAACAATAACCATACATATAACCATGTTGAAAAACTTAAATCACACATGATATAATATTGTAACTGAACTAAGAACTAAAACTACAATTCATTTTATTCTCCAACACCTCAATCCCTGGAGCATAAGTGGAACTACAACCCACTTACTGTACGACAGAAAGATATATGGAGGTACCATTATAACTCCGTCTTGACTCAGTAGGAACATAGATTCACGTTGTTCTTGGTACAGATATTCACACTATGCTTAGCGAGACACAATGTGCTATTCCCGTTGTAATGGTAATGTTGTAGGGCTATGCTGCTCATGTTGAATAAAAATCTCATTTTACAACTCTACTAGAAGCATAAAAGAACGGGAAAAAAAAAAAAAGGGTGTATTCTTTTTCTTTTTTTTTCATTAGTTAAATTTGGGGATGGGGGGAATCGAACTTGGGTGAGGTGGGAGTTTTCTTAGCTCTAGTACCTCTACAACTAGGGCCCCATCTTCAAAAAAGGTGTATTCTACAGAAGGTTCAATTTGTCATAGATTTCGAAACAAAACATCTCAAATGAATGTAGTATTGTCTGCTATACTAAAACTGGATCATAATATATGAACCCTAAGTTGTGACTACGAAAGTAGCGGTAGCTCTAGCATGAGGTCTGTAATTCCGTATACTACTATTGCTGGCTAGCCTTGGCATACAAGATAAGACAATATCAGAGAAAAACACAAACATGTATGGTAAGAAAATACCCTTTGGAGGCCATGTTTTGGAGTTCTTGGTGTCAAGTTGATTGACCAGGGTCATGCTAAAATGGGCAAATCTACTCCACTCCTTTGGCAATGTCGAAACATCTCCAACACCCAAATACAAAGACAACTGCTCTGCAAGATTTGTGTCCTTCCACCCTTGACATAAAAGCATCCGCCTGATAATAAACACACATCCACAATTATATTACGGGGTGCAACTCGAGTGGATTGGGCAGGTTAGAATAAAGTCCCAAGTACAAAGAAATATTAACCTAGAGAAAAGGAAATCTACTAGCTACACTAGTGACCAAGGAATCCCCATTCACATTCCCAAGCCAACAAAAATATCCGCTTTGCTAGGGGACGGGGAAACATCACACTAAAAATCTGAGCATGCATGCAAGTGAAGAGGAATAGGAAATGCTGAAAACAAAAGCATACGTACCACTTAGAACCACCGACGACAAAAACTTGAGAGTAAAGTTTCTCCTTGTCCATCTTAGAGAAGTTCTCGATTCTCCATTTCAATGTCCCAGATACAAGTTGGTTCTGATTCCCCTCTCTAATCTTCTCCATTCTACTAAGCAAAAATCTAGAAATAGTAATTTGATATTACATGCAGTAGCAAACAATTAGTTCCCATCCTACAATGGTTGACTGAGAGTCTATAGAGAGAGAGAGAGAGAGAGTCTATAGAGAGAGAGAGATATATACCTTTGGATATCCGGTACGGTGATCAAATAGACAGCTAGACAAGTTTTGATAGAAATAGAGGAATATCACAAGTCCTGCATTTTTCGACCAAAATCCACAAAGAATTACAACTGCAGCATTTTGGCGCGTTATAGAGATCAAAATTTCAGCTTTTTATAACATATTTGATTACACACTTGTACGCAACACTAAATTAAGTTAAGGGTAATAATGCTAGGAAGACTAAATTTGTAAACTAAATGATGTGTCACCAATAGAAATGAACATGTTTACCAACGCTTAAGTAACAAACTAATCATCAACTTTCATGTTTTTTAATTTCCAAAATTTTGTGTACAACTATAGTTTTCAAAATTTTCTACAAATTTAGTCTCCCTTACATTACCCTTAAGTGAATTATGCACTAAAAATCCATTTATACACTTTCTTATTGGGTAATGTTAGGGAGACTAAATTTGTAGACAAAATTTTGAAAACTAAAGGACATGGAAGTTGATTGGTTTATTACTTGAGCGTTGATAAACGTGCTCATTCCTATTAGTGACACATCATTTAGTTTGCAATTTTTGTCTCCAAATTTAGTTTCCCTAACATTACCCTTTCTTATTATACAACATAAAACTTCTTCCTTTTTTTTTTTGGCAAACATAAAAAATTATTTTTCAAAATAGATCATTATAATAAATGAATAAAGTTACTAATTGTTGTAACTTTCCTAGTTTAAGTGTGATTGTATAATTCTTAGATTTGATTTGATTCTAGTTGTTCTTTCCTATATGGACTTGTATTCCTTGGGGTTGAAGGATTTCTTCTCCCTCTTATTACTATAAATAAAGGCACTATGTGGGAAGGAATAACACACACATTCCTCCATACAATTCTACAAACACATCTCTCTCTTTTCTCTCTTTACCACTGATCCCCTTCCCACTGTCAGATAAAATAGGCTACAACACGTTATCAGCACACTCCTACTGATGCGCTTAGGAATCTGACGTGGAAGCTTTCTACATCAAACCAGTTCATCAATATTATCACGCAAACAGGTTCTTCCAAAACAACAGTTTTTATCTCAATATTTTTGCAGCCTAGATAGCATGAACATTCACCATAATGCATGATCAAACTTTACGTTCTTTGATTTTTAATTCTACATAAATTGTGTATGCATTATATTCATAATTGTTGAATTATGTGAATTTGATATTGCCATGAATTGCATCAAATATATGTTCATTTATTCAAATTATACATGCAATTGAATTGAATTGAATATATTTTTTTTTTTTTGGATTTGTTTGAACCCAAAGCCGAGACCATGGAGCCCCGCAAGTTTCCAAACCCAAAACCTGACACCATCACTGGTGTCACCACCGATTTTTGACACAAGCATGGCCTGCAACCATGCCCAGCCCCATAGCTGCTTTCTCGACGACCTGAAGTGGTCCCAGCCAAAATTGTGGCTGAGATTTTTGAAATCTCGTCGGAGTTCAAAACCCTAACTCGAACTCCAGGGTTTCTTGGTTCATCGACGTTGAGTTTTGACTCCCCATCACCTAGGAAGAGGTTCTACGGTAAACCATACCCCTCCGACCGCTACCAGAAGTGACGAGGGCTGGGCTGTTCTTCTGATCCAAAAACCAAGTCCTTTGGGCTTTGGCTCTTCTCGGCCCAAATCTAAACCTAGATTTGGCTTTTAGTTTTGCTGTCACTAGCCCTATCTCTCAGTCCACTTGCGACGCCAGCCCAATTGGGCTTTGGTGTCCCCGTGTCCCTACTGCAACAGAACCAAGCCCTTGCAGAGCTTTCCAAGTTCCATGCACCCAACCGCACCTGATCCCAGCCCGTAGCTAATGATCTTGTACCCTGGCGTGTGACACACTCGATCCGTGCCTATCTGTCTTGGGCCTACAGCCCAGTCGACCCCAACCCAGCCTAATTTTTGGGCTTGGGCCGCATGTTTCACATTACTCAGGCTACCCGTGGGCTTTGGGCTATTATTTTGGGCCTCGAGTTTAATTGCCTAATTATTTTTAGGCCCACTGGGTTTTATAATTTTTTCACCCACACTTTAAATTTGGTCCAAAGTCTAAATAATTAATTCAATTATAATTATAGACCTGAAGTTCTATTTGCATATTTTCTTGTTACATATTTTTGTATATATATTTGCGTTTGTCTGCAGGAACATATGAACCTGAAGTTCATAATTATTTCGAAACTTGAAGTTTCTAGAAACATGCCTTGTTTGAAAACCTGAAGTTTTCCTTAAAAACATCACCCATGAAAACCCGAAGTTTTTCATGCAAATTTTAACCAATACATGTCTATTTGAACCTCAATTTTCTACTCCTATGTGAATGGAGTGATGTTTCTCCATTACACTAACCATATCTTCTCCATCTATTTTGTGATAGGAACATGTCGAATTTGAACAAACTCGACTTCACCGCTTTAGAGGTCTCTGGAAGGAACTTCCTCACTGTAAAGAATTTACGTCCTGCCATTGAAGATGAGACGGACAACTCGGTTGGAAAAGCTAAGAAAGCCACTACATGATCTTCATCCAAAGACATATTCATGATGCCCTGCAAACTGAGTACCTTGCTGAAAATGATCCACGAGCACTATAGGTCACTTTGGCTGATCGTTTTGATCACCAAAAGGACATCTTATTGCCTGAAGAATGACATGACTGGCATCATTTGGGCTTCCAAGACTTTAAGTATGTTAATGAATATAATTATGATGTTTGTCAAATCTAATCACTTCTCAAGTTTTGTAACGAAACTTTGACTGAAGATGATCTCCTGGAAAAGACCTATTTGACCTTCTCTACTACTAATATTGTCCTGCAGCACCAATATAGAGCTAAGAAGTTCACTGAGTTTTCAGATTTGATCTCTGTTTTACTTCTTGCTGAAAAGCAGAATCAGCTATTCATGAAAAATCATCAAGCTCGACCTACTAGGGTGACTGTTGTGCCTGAAGCGCACTATAGCACGAACCAACGCCCAAAACACCAAAAGAGGCATGGTAGGGGCAGCTAGAAGCCACCCTAACAAGGTCAACAAGCCCATATGAAAGAGGAAACAAAGCCCACAAGCACGCTAACCTTACTCCCAAGGCCCCAAACTTCAAGAATAAAGGCAAGCACATGAAACCATGGATGCAAACATGTGTTATCGTTGTGGTACAAAGGACCATTGGTCCTGTGTTTGTTGAGCTCCCTAGAAGATTGTAGTTGAATATCATTATCATTGTAAAAAGTTTGAATCAAACTTTGTGCAAGTGGACAAACTGAAGAGTACCAAGATGGAGGTTTCTAACTTTCAAGAGGCTGTTACCCCTATGGAAGATTAGAATCTTAGACATAAACTATTTTTCTAGTTGAAATTTAGACATTAAGGTCGAATTCCACAGTAGTGGCCGAACCCCACCTTGTGTTTTTTGGTTAAATTTTGAACAATTTTCCTTTATGTTTGGACTATTTGTTGGTGATAGTTCGTGGATATTAATTTTTAATTAATTACCGTCCTTGGATACTTAAAATTATTTTGAATGGATATTTATTTTTTTAGAACTTTTATGCATGTGACCGATTCAAATTAATTTTTCATTTTAGGTATGACTAGTGGGGAAGTTAGTTGTCTGGCAAATAGTGCAACCACGCACACCGTTTTGCGTGAACGCATCTATTTCACTAACTTCATACCAAAGAAGGCACCTTTGACAACCCTCTCAGGCCTATCCAACCTAATCGATGGATACGGTAAGGCACGTATAATGTTGTCCAATGGTACAATTTTGACCATTGATAAAGCACTTTATTCTCCACATTTTGGAAGAACGTTGTTGAGTTTTAAAAACATTAGAGATAACAATTACCATGGTCTGTATATTACGGCCATACGCTCCATAGAGAAGATGGAGCGTATCCCGAATGGTCTGTATATTACGGCCATACGCTCCATAGAGAGCCACTATGTGGCCGACCCTATCTCTGGGACCGCGCACCAAATTACACTTTAGCATGATCGTTTGAGAAATCCTGGATGAATAGCAATGCATCGTATCCTTAAATCATCACATGGGCATCCACTAACCCAAAGCTTAGGTTCGATTCAAGGAATCGCATGTCAAACCTGCTCCATGAGAAAACTTATTATTAAGCCTTCTTATGACAAGATTCATTTGAATCCTCCTATTTTTCTACAAAGGATTCAAGGGGGACATTTGTGGACCGATTCACCCTTCATGTGGACCATTTAGATATTTTATGGTTTTGGTTGACACCTCCACACGTTGGTCACACGTGTGCTTGTTGTCCACAAGGACCGTTGCATTCTCCAAATTGTTGGCTCAAATTATCAAGCTCAGGGCTCACCACTCTGATTATTCGATCCAATCTATTTGATTGGATAATGCTGGAGAATTCATATCTAAACCTTTTGATGACTATTGCATGTCGGTTGGGGTTGAAGTTAAACATCCAGTACCCCATGTTCACACCCAGAACGGCCTGGCAGAGGCATTCAATAAGCGTTACAAATGATTGCTCAATCATTGGTCATACGTACTAAGCTCCTGATCACTACTTGGGGCCATGCAATATTGCACGCAACCATGTTGGTCTACTTGAAGCCTGTTGCGACCCAACCATATGGCGCCATTCAGTTGGTTACCGTATACGAACCCAACATATCTCATTTGCACGTTTTTGGTTGTACGGTCTATGTGCCAATTTCACCGCCTTTACATACAAAAATGGGGCCTAAGCGAAGGATGTGAATCTATGTTAGATATGATTCTCCTTCGATCATTCGTTACTTAGATTTTTTGACAGACGATCTGTTTCGTGGATTGTCACTTCTATGACAGACTTCCCGTTGTTAGGGGGAGATAAGAACGTCAATGTTCCTGAAGAACGACCTGAATTATTGTGGACGACTCCTACTTTGTCTCATTTAGATCCCCGCACCGCTTAGTCTGAAACTGAAGTGCAGTGTATATTAAATCTTCAAAACATAGCTCAAAGCATGCCAGATGCTTTCACCAATCTAGCGTCAGTGAC